GGACTTAAGAATTATTTTGTTTCCAAGAGGTGCTGTTCAAAAGTAGGTCATAGTAAAACAAAAAAACAAAAGTTACAAGCGAGAACGCACTGGGTTTAAATCCTGAAGGGTCCGAGGTCACAAAATTTTACCTAAATAAAATAGAAGAAAATCCCTTCAACTGTGAAACCTAACCTTCAGCCTCCTTGAAAGTTTATCTTCTAATAGACATGTAAATACTTGGCAAAGTCGAATCCAACCTAAACCTTAACCTAGACTGACAAACCCCACATACAAGAATCGTAAACTATACAGGATTGCTCAATCGGCTAAATTTGTTCACAAGAGCCGTGACGTCACCTGCATTCCTGACTTTCAAGATGGCCGCCCAAACGGATGATAGTTCAGTTTGTGCTGACAATTATTTTATCGTCAATTCGAAGTTTATCAAGTGTTATAAGTGTAATTTAAAATTTCATTTAATGTGTGAAAGCATAAAAAACTCATGGCTAAAAATAATCGCGGAAACCCCAAACATTTTCTGGTTTTAGTGGTTCTGTAATGCATTGGATTTGTCGCATCAGGACATAGGCCATAGCGTTCTTTTATTCGTGTGTATTGCTTAGTTTTCTACTGTAAGTATTTCCTAGTCAAGTATTTATATTGTTTTTTTTTTGTAAATCAAATAACTACTTAGTTGTAAGTTTCCTTTGCATGTAATTACTAGAAATTAGTGTTTGTGAAGAGTAAATAAAAAAATAAATATGTAAATAAATTCCTTTACTGGCGCGTTTACTATGTAAACGCATAGAAAATATGGGGAACTTGCAGTGTTTTTCTGGATTATGATTATGAAAATCTAAATTAGATATCACTGTTTGGCTGTGTGAGATAAGCTTACTTTGAATGTCCATATTAAGTCGTTCTAGTACCTATTAAACTATTGAATAATAATTGAGAAGTAGGTAGAGACAGTAAAAAATAAAACACACTATTACAACCACGACTCGCTTATAATTTGATAATAAAATGCAAAAAATGTATCTGCATTGAGTTTGTCCTATCTTTTACAAAAAACTATCCACTTGTTTCGAATAGTTTGAGATACAAGATCTTTTCCTTTAGGAAAGCGATGAAATTTACATTTTTGAGTGCTCGCTTTTTGATCAAAATAGTTATTACACCCATACACAGCACATCTCATTTCAGGCATATCTATTTTATAAATGTACTTTTTAACCACTCAAGCACACAAACTTTTGAAGTCTGCTAACTTTAAAAAACCCCAAAACACAGTTTTCGAAGGAAATAACCTCAAAACAACAATTTTTTACGTTTGAAAATGCAAGGAAAATGCACTGTCATAATAAAAAACAAGGACTGCGTGACATCACTTGTATTCCTCCATGTTCGATATTTTTATGAACGTACGTCTTATGGGATTGAGCAATCCTGTAGAGTTTACGATTCTTGCCCCACATAAACCTAGAGTGACAAATATAACCTAACTTTTAACCTTGATTTAGAATATCGTTAACAGATCCCTCAATGGGCAAAAAACAGCATTTTGAAGTGGCTCTTCCACTAAACCCGTTACTGGTTTCCGACATTCCAGTCACTACTCTACATTTGCCGTCTGGATGCAGAGTGATAACCCGCGCAAGCTGCTACTTAAGAGGCGGCAGATTTTCGTCCCACACTATCACCATATCACCCACCTTAAAGTTGTCTATTGGTCCACACCACTCCGATCTTTGCTGTAACTGACAAAGATATTCTGCTGACCACCTACTCCAAAAACCTTGCACCATTTGTGTCACCAATTGATATCTGTGCAACCTATTTGAATTACATTGGCCAAAGTTTTCTTGAGGCAACGTGCTAGTGATGTACCAATGAGAAAATGGCCAGGCGTTAGTTAATCGAGATAAACGTACAATACGTACAGACGTACGGGGTAGCGCTCTTTATTCTATACATTTCTTATTTCTTTCTTGCTGTGAGCGGAGTGACTTGAGCTGCGGGCTGGAATATGAACAGCTCTGTTTCTTACCTGGATTCTGCCCGAATGGTGAATTCGCGCATGCGGCCTAGAAGCCTGATCCTGCGAGCTGACGGTTGTAGGAGCTGGACCGACCATGGTTCCTGGAGCTTTATTTCTGCCGATTTACCATTATCGTACCGTAATCTCGAACCGTTAAATTAACTCGCCACTAACCAGACACGCACATGTAGTTTGTTCGCCTCTCTCTCACACTCTGTTTTGCATTTCATTTTAAAGCCCGCACCATAATTAAGTTTTCCTAAATTTTCCTATTGTATTATAAATTATCGGGTAAACAGTAAAAACTACTTTCTTGGTTAGATGGTGTGTTTTAGGTTTGGGGAATGCGCATTGACCTCTGGTTTTTCATCTCCAACTTTCGTAGTGCGTAGTAAAAAAAAAAAAAAATGAATGATAAAAGCGAGTACTCACTGGGTTTGAATCCTGAATGGCTTGGTGTCTGGTAACACAGTATTTAATTTGGATGAAACTAAAGGCGAACTACACACACAAGCATGCCTCTGCCTGGTAAAAAATGAACCAATAGTAGGCCTGTTAATTTATGGTAATTCTCAGCTGTTTATGAGGGTCACTAAGAATATATGATATTTTTGTATGGGTCTAGTGAACACCCCGAAAGACAACAAAAGTTAGATAAAGTTTGCTGCTAAAGGTTTTAGTGAATGTTTATTAATTGTTTTCAATGAAAACATGCCAGATAGTTTGTGAGTCATACAGGATGGAGCACGAAAAACTTCCCACCTAGGTTTTCTCAGGTGTTATAGGTGATTAATCAAAAATTGCTCGGACACGTCAACTTTTGTTTTTTGGGGACACATTTTATTGGTATTTGCACCCTCTACCCGTAAAATTTCAAATGGAAAGGGGGTTCGAGTGATACAATATACTACATATTTCCTAACTTTGACAAGCCGCCATTTCGACAGGGACTATTTACCCTGCCGCACCTAAAATTTCGAGGAAATAATAATCTTAATAAAACTTTCTATCAACGTATCACTCGACCTCCCTTTCTATTTGAAATTTTGGGGGTACCTATCACCCCCGCAGTACAATGGTCGAGCGATTTTTGATTTTTCACGTAACATCTGAGAAAACCTGGGTGGGAAATTTTTAGTGCCCCGCCCTGTATATACAAGGTGTCTCACGACGTTTTATCGAATGCGTCATCCAATATAATTGAAATTTTAAGCATCTGGATAACTTTTTGTGACGCTTCTACATGCGTCATCCAATTTCACTTTAGCTTCATTTCCGGTCAAGTGACGGCAACTTTAGAATCTTGAATGTAACTGATGGTATTATATAATTTTTCGTTAGAAAATTAAATTACAAAATTGGCAATGCAATATTTGCTAAGGCATTGTTGAAGAAAATGATAAAAAATTACAAAGTGGACATCCGATGACGCATTCCGAAGTTATTACCTGGGTAAAACGTCGTGGGACACCCTGTTTATACAAGATGGGAAAAACGTCCCACCCAGGTTTTTTCAGGTGTTAAGTGAATAATCAAAAATCGCTCGACCATTTTATTGGTATTTTCACCCCCTAAGCGGGGGTGACAGGTACCTCAAGAATTTCGAACAGAAAGGGGGGTCGGGTGATATGTAAATAATATGTAATTTGTTAGAAATTTTTATTGAGATTTTTATCCTCGAAATTAAAAGTTTACCCTGCCAAAATTGTCAAAGTTAGGAAAAAGTAAATTGTATCACTCGAACCCCTTTTCCATTTGAAATTTTGCGGGTACCTGTCCCCCCCCCCAGAGAATGAAGATACCAATAAAATGTGTCCCCAAAAAAACAAAAAATAACGTGTCCGAGCGATTTTTGATTAATCACCTAAAACCTGAGACGAGACCTCAGAAAACCTAGATGGGAAGTTTTTTGTGCCCCACCCTGTATAACTTAAAAACCATCTGGCATATTTTCATTGAAAACAATCAATAAAAACTTACTAAAACCTTCAGTAGTAAACTTTATCTTGATTCCGTTGTCTTTCGGGGTGTCCACTGGCGGCTATTTAAAAAATCGCCGCCACGGCCGCCGCGGGGGGCAGTTGGTCGATGGCTCCACATCCAAATTTGTTCATATTACATCGGTCTACTTCTGTGCCAAATTTGGTGCCTTTATCAAAAAATGCACAATATGTTGAAATATCCTAGCTAGGCTGCCGCACTATTAATAAAACCTCCGGACAAACGTTCTGACCGATGAGGATTCAGGTATCGGAGATGAGGGGTGTTTAGTTTTAGTCGATAATCTCAGTGAACAATAGTAATTAGCTGGTTCAGAACAAGCGAAGAGAAGCCCATAAATGATTACTCAAGATTTGAAAAATTAACAGAAATTTTTGAGCAGGTCATTGACCTAGAAATACTTGACTTACCCACTCGTTGAACGTTTCACAAAATTAATTGCTTTCTTTTTCTGTATCTGAATAATGGCCGTGTTCGTTTTTGTCATCTTTTTTGTCGATTTGCTCCGAAATTTTGACAGGCACTTGACTGGATCAGACAGTTTCAATTTACAAATCACGTGCCTGTCAAAATTTCGGAGCAATTCGACGAAAAAGATGACAAAAACCCAAAAACGAACACGGCTGATATATTCGCATGACATAAAAATTACAATGGGAGTTCAAATATCTCAAGTATATTTTGCAGCGTTGCCACTTTCACCTTCAACTTGTCTAAACTTTGGATGAGACTGATGAGAAGAACCTCAGCAAACGAAATGATCTTTTACGTGTACCTCAAATTTGGGTTCCACTCACCTCTATGAATAAGTGAACCCGTGCAATCGGCCCTAAATGTATTCGGATGTACAGCTACTGAATGCAATAACATCTTTATCTTGTTAGGGTAATTGTAAATGATTCATTAGAGTAAAAAAATGTTACAATAATATTTTCTCGAAAATCCAATATTGGCTTTAAAATATACCTATACGTACCGTTACATGATTTTTTATCTCCACCCAGTTCATAACCGTCTCTACACGAGCATTCAATTGTGGTTCCCGTATCGATACAATCATGATCACAAGGATTATTCTCCTCACACCTGAAATTTAGTTTTGTTCAGTTAAATCAAGATTTAATATTTGTATCTTTCATCTACACAAAGAACCTGGAATTAATTTATAATTAAACTTTTCAACGGCTAGCATTACCGTTTCGCGTAACTCTAAACCGGATAACCGCGTGCCTGATGATATTCGATATGATCAGGTTGACAATGTATTGGATTCAATTATGGATAAAAAAAGACAACGTTTGTGCCGGTGAAGGTTGTTTCTCAAGCATCCGAAAAATGTGTTCGAAATGTAATGTTGGTAAATGTATAGACTGACTATAACTATATTTCCACAAAACGTGAACCGTTGTGATAATTTGCAACGTATATCTAAATTTCTATCATTTTATAAACCATTAACGGCTGGTGTTACCTTAGGTAACGGTACCTTTCTGCCCTTAAATGGTTGTGAGGCCTTTTGCTTCTAAGAATTACGAATTACCCATACAGAAAACGATATTGAGGTCCCCTTTAGACAATTTGTTACAGGTGTATTAGGTTGTATTATGCCAGTAAATCAACAGGCAGAGTCCAAGGGTAATCCGGGCCACAATCAATTATGTAATTTTACCTTCCTCTTGAGGCTTACTCTATTTGTTGGAAGGACGAAGGACATTCGTCCTTGCCAATTCTGTATCACGAAAAGTAGAGGTTTTAAATGTTTAAATTTAAAGTAGGCTGGCCCGATTCCAATTCAGTCTACATTTTATAGCCTAAAATACGTGTCGGTGGTTAATAGTGTGATTGTTTGATTGGACCACATAGAAAAAAAAAGAGATCAATAAATAAAGCTGACATTAAATCGCAGTTTCATAAGTGATAAAACAAGAGACCTACTTACCAACATATTAGTAATACTATTTAGGATTGGCTCACCTGCTGCCTTTGGCGCGTTTCATTGGTTTACAAGAGACTCCATCTTTCATAAGCTGATATCCAGGAAAACAGCTACAGTTAAAACTACCTTCTCCAGACGGGGTGCAAAGTTGTGCACAAAATTCTCTTGTTTCACATACGTTTTCCTCAGATAATCCTGAAATAAACACATTTTCCTTGTTATAAATGTGATACAACTTCGATTATGACTTAGATTCCTATTAGAAAAAAATGTAACATCCAGTTAAAGAAGCAATATAGCAAATACTTAATTATATTACCCACCACCAGACTGAGATGATAATTTTAAGATGTGGTAGAGGTTTTTTTTTTTCGTTTCGAAGCAATATTTTCAGCAAGCTAGACCCATGACAAGATCTTCTGTTCGAAAAGAAGTACCGCCGTCAATTTTGTGATTTTTATTGGACCAATTGAAATACAACTATTAAACTAATAGAATCAGCTGAGCCCATCATAATGGAACGGGAAGTCAGTGGTAGAATGCCATTTAACCTGTATAGCAACACTTTACTAGGTAACAACCGTAACTAGTTCTAACTGATTTTTCACATTTAATTTTCAACGGCTTCTAGGTAACCAAGAAAGAAAAAACTAGCCGTGCATTGGCCACCAGGTCTGCTGTCATTTCAAAAATATAAAGATTTTGTCAGACAAAATGTGACAAAATCTTCGGATAAAATAGTGTACCTAAGTATGTCCAACATAATAATGGGATAGCATTGGGATCTAAAAAACGATACAGGAGGTTTTAAAAATTGGGAAGTTCTAAATATTTCCGGGAATATCCGAAAAAATCGAAATTTTGCAAAATCCATTTTATTTCTTCCTCAGCTCATTTTGAAGTGATAATTCAAAATAAACGGACGTTTATCATTGTTACTCTCCCCCTCTACTTAGTGGCATTCTCAAATTGAAATCCGACGTGTCGTCTTTGGTCGACTATCATCTTTTTTTTTTAATACGGCCATCATGAATATTTTATTTAGTTTGTGTTAGTTGACTGTGAAAACCATTATTGATTGAATCATCAGTTCTAAGACAAATTCGCCTTAAATATTATGCATAGGCCTTTCTCTGGCTTGCATATAACTAGCGCCACAAAGCCGTCTTTATTCAAGACATTGCAGTGATAATTCCAAATGAAAATGGAAAATTATTTAATAACTATTATTCAATCAACCTGAACACAGTGCCTTAGACTGCTCGGCCTTCCTGAATTCCCATGCTGCCAGCTGACTTTTTTGCCCCTCTGTGATGGTCCTAGCACTTGCAGTTTTTCTTTCATGGGAAATGATGTTCAAAAATGATTCGGTGTCACCATCTTCCAATGGATCACTTCCCAGCTGTTCAGAACTTTGTTCTTGATCCGCATTAAATCGAGAGATTCCAACAGGGACTTCTCCGCTGATGAATTTCAAGGCATTTCTTTCCTTGATCTAAGCATGCTCGGCTAAATAATGCATCTGCGTTGCTATGCAGTTCATCATCGTGATGTTGGTTCAGAAAATCGTACCGTTGCAACTTCTTAATCCAAGGCTGACAGTCATCAGGAGAGCGTTATCACAGTTGTACTTCACAATCACGTTTGAAATGTACCCATTTTCCGCGACGGTAACATTCGGAGTCCTCCTTCAAATAATCCATTGAAGGCTGAGAGTCTTTAGAAAGAAAGAGATATTTCAATCGTACTCCACAATCGTGTTTGAATCGTCGCCTTCTCTCGTAGCAGTAACATCCAGAACTTTCTTTCAAGTTACCCTTCTAAGCCTTCCGTAATTCATCCAGTTGTTCTTCCATCGAGTCTTCAATAATTTCTCCTATCGGTCCTTTATTTTCTAGCATCGACACAGCTCTGATCTTTGCCTTGGATATCTTGTAAGTTGCTCCCCGATTTCTAGGGCTTTGATTAAAGCTTCGCTGCTACTTGATGGTTTGGTTATAAGCAGCATGAATATTCCTTTAGTTGCTCTCGTATTTCATCTCCTGCTTTTGATTAGGCCAAATTAACCAGACGGCGGATATCGGTTTCAAATTCTTGTAAGCTTTCTGTTGTCTTGTTCTCAGTTATAACTGTTCAAGCTGCCACCGGTGTTGATCTCCATAATGATGCCCTAGCACCTGAACAAGCGCACCATAGTTTGGTTGCGAAGCTGGCGAAAGAGTATCTAAGGCAGGGCCACGTAATGCTACAATCAAGACTCTAGCCATATCATCGCAGTTCTGTGGTGAAGTCAAATTTCCAGATAAAAAATAATGGAATATTCTAGAAAAATCACTCTGTTTTTCCCTGAAGAGTTGCGTAAATAATTTGAGTCCTAGAATCTTTGCCGGGTTTTCCTTCCATGAATTTTCGTAACAATGGCATAGATTGGGTATTGATATAAAAGCTAAATTCCTATATCATCTGCGACATTTTACCACTAAAGAAAAAAAAACATATGATAAAACCAAAAATATCAGATTAGTACAAACAAAAATAGAATGAGACGAAAATGTGACATATGGAATCAAACAATTATTTATTGAAGACGATGTAGTCATGGGCGAAAGAGAGGAAGACCACAGATGCCTTCGTTAATTAGCCCCAAGGTAAACTTTGCCTCAAGGCCCTCAAGGGTCTATCTCGGAATCCTTAAGGAGGCATTACACGGCGCGCGGAACGGCGCGCCTGGCGCGTGAACTGGCACTCCACACGCCGTGTGAAGGGTCTGGCGCGGCAAATTTCGCGCCGCGTGTCTGTTCCCGTCAATGAGCGGTAAATTTGACACACTTCAAAGGAAACGCGCCGCGCGTGTTGAAGCGACTCGGGGAATACAGTCACACGGCGCGTGGAGCGAACGGGAGCGGGAAGTTCACCAATAATTTTTTTTTAAAAGTAATTCCTGATATTCCTGAAACGAAGATGTTGTGGGAGAAGGCCTCAACACGCAATGCGCGAACTTTCATCGAGGGGCGCGAACTTGTGAATTCACAGGCCGTCTGACTGCAACCACACTCCACGCGCTTGGCTTGCCAGTTCACACACCACGCGCTTGGCTTGCCAGTTCACACTCCACGCGCCAGGCGCGCCGCTCCACACGCCGTGTAATGCCCCCTTTAGTCTCCTCCTAAACAACGAATATCCAATAATAAATAATAGTTGTTCTAACTTCGGACTTAATTATTAGAAAATAGTGGCTATGATAATATTTATTTCAGGAGGCTGCTTTTACAATCGTCCAAACAGGATTAACGGAATAACAAACATTCAGTTGCTGAAAATAGTGTATTTAATTTCACTTTATTATTTAGTTTACACGCTACCTACTTCATTATAAGTACTTTGGCATAAAGATTTTTTTATTATAAATGCATTTTCATATTTATTACTTCCGTCTTCCGTTCATCACAATGACATTGAAAATAAAGCTATTTAGATGAAATAAAGTTCGAGTTTCCAGAATATTCAAATAAAGGTAGAAGTTCGTTTTAATCGAAAAAAATTGAAAGGATACCCCTTTTAATTAACAATTTATGTTTATTGAGCTTTCATCGATGTATAATATAGACTCTCGAGCTTCGGAAAGGAAAAGTTTAAGGTTTACTGAAAAAAAGGTTCTAAATTATTGGACTTTATTTTGTTCGATGACTTCAAATTAATGTTGTCTGGATCAATAGGTGTAGTTTTTTACTCATACATTTTTTTTGGTTGAAAAGATATAGGTAGTTAAGGAGTTTTAGAATCCAAGGTAAATCTAATGCAATTACCTGGATAAAAGGCTGATTCTTCAAAGGACTTGGAATATTTTGCACTTTCGGCAGACGTAGTTGCTTGCGTTGATAAAAGTACCTTGGGAGTTGTACTTGTGGCAGTTGCTTCTACATCAGCTTCCTCGCAACAACTTATAAAAGCTTCAGAATACGGTGGTCCCAACTGAAGTGAGTCGAAACATAAATCACCATTTTTTTTTGATTCTACACCTAACCGACATGCTTCACAACAGTCCTAAAAGCAAATAGTTTTTTTATTCATCATTTTGTTGTCTAGCTAAAATACGTACTCGCCTATCTCCGTCGTTTTCTGTACAATTGGCTTTAGCATCTTCTTTACCTAAGTCACACTGTCTAATTCTGGAACAAAAAAATAAAATAAAAAATAAATTCTACTAATACCGTCATATTTTGATAAATCTAAAATTATGCACCCTGCGGCCACTTACTAGCTTCATCTATTCCTAATTTCAATTTAAGCCTCAGCAGTTCAAAAAAAGATAACACTAGAAGCGCCAAGCTCACCTCCATACCTACCTATTATCAGTGTTGCCAGATGAAATTTAAAAAATTCGTGAGAATCGAGAAAGAAAAGTCGTGAGAAATCGTGAGACTTAAAATTGCTTGTAAGAAAATAATCACAATATTGCACAACATTCTTTTTTTATAGATTTTTGATAAAGTGATTTTACATCCACAAGAAATAGAAATTTTATTATTAAATCTTGTATCCTTGTTTATTCCGTTTTTTAGCAGGTGTTTCTGAGAGCTGAACCTCGTTTTCATTATCCGCAGGATTGCTTATCCTAATAAGGCGTACGTTCGCCAATTCTCGAGTCGGCATCTGGTCTGCGAGTGACGTCACCACTATCAGCAGTTGATAGTGGTAACGTCACCCGCAGACTTTGATGGATTGCTTGCGATTCAGGCTGTGCTTGTGAGTTAATTTTCTTGGGAATTTTAAATTTAGAAAAGGCGATTTCAACGTTTATGAATTCGTTTTTTGGACTCGGATAATGCATTTTCTGCCAAGTGTTGAGGTCTGCAGCTGACTTCACAAATATTGGGGTCTCGTGGACTTCGCAGACACTTTCAGCTCAATAAGCAGTCCTATTAGCACAGCATATACAAAAACAAACAGCAGGTTAACTCTCACGCGCATCTCTTTTGCGCACGCCGCCATTCGAGGATACAGCCTATCTTTAAATGGCAGAACAATGAGATTTAACGCCCATCGCATCTACGCACGCCGCCATTTTGGGATACATTGCTCCAGTTAGCCTGCTGATTGTTTTTGTATATGCCGTGCTATTAAGTTTAGTGTTCTTGGGCGCACATGTACCAGGAGCGGCTTAAAATAACTAAATATTGTATAGTAGATTTTTATTCCAATTACATTATTTACTGATTTGTATTACTACAGAGAGAATTCGTAAGAATTGCTACCTCATTCGTGAGATCGTGAAATTCGGACCAAAATCGTGTAATCTTACGAATAATCGCGAGATCTGGCAACACTGCCTATTATCGTCTCATTTTAACTCTACCGTTTTTGGATTGAAGATAATATAACAAAGTTCTTCCTTTGTTCATAGAAAATAACAATATAATATTTATTAATTAGGTAACGGCCCAATTAAGGACCGATTGAGAAGTGTTTTATCTCTGCAAGACCATCCGTGGACGCGTTTCGCTGTATCACAGCTCATCAGCACGGTTTAGGTCCCGTCCCGCAGAGAGAAAACACAACCCATTTTTGGTTCCATCCCGGAACTGGGTTTAATACAAGTAAAATGAAGACAGGGTCTCCATCTATTTTCTGATCGGCACACTAAAAATTGCTACTAACAACCGTATAAACCAGTATTAAATTAGAGCAAATCGACTCGCAAAGGCATTCGCCACAATTGCGAGAATAGCTATTCTAGTTGCCAACCAGAAGTAAAGTCGGTTGGTACCGAAAAACATTGATATTAATTAGGTAACGGCCCAATTAAGGACCGATTGAGAAGTGTTTTATCTCTGCAAGACCATCCGTGGACGCGTTTCGCTGTATCACAGCTCATCAGCACGGTTTAGGTCCCGCAGAGAGAAAACACAACCCATTCGCCACAATTGTGGCGAATGCCTTTGCGAGTCGATTTGCTCTAATTTAATACTGGTTTATACGGTTGTTAGTAGCAATTTTTAGTGTGCCGATCAGAAAATAGATGGAGACCCTGTCTTCATTTTACTTGTATTAAACCCAGTTCCGGGATGGAACCAAAAATGGGTTGTGTTTTCTCTCTGCGGGACCTAAACCGTGCTGATGAGCTGTGATACAGCGAAACGCGTCCACGGATGGTCTTGCAGAGATAAAACACTTCTCAATCGGTCCTTAATTGGGCCGTTACCTAATTAATATCAATGTTTTTCGGTACCAACCGACTTTACTTCTGGTTGGCAACTTGAATAGCTATTCTCGCAATTGTGGCGAATGCCTTTGCGAGTCGATTTGCTCTAATTTAATACTGGTTTATACGGTTGTTAGTAGCAATTTTTAGTGTGCCGATCAGAAAATAGATGGAGACCCTGCCTTCATTTTACTTGTAATATAATATTTATTTGAGAAAAGTTTTTTGGATTGATTTTCTCCGCTTTTCCATCCATAGACGCGTTTCGACCTATATCAGGTCTCATCAGTATGGCTAGGAAAAGCAAAGAAAACCAATCCAATTTTTCGCCTAAAGGCAAATGCAAGAATTACGAAGAGCGAATCTTGATCTTGACGCCATCTAGGACCGATAATCAACACTACACGCAATTTTGCTGTGCTAAATGGTGAACGTCCAAAGGCCGACCAAAATTCAGTTCGTTTGGGTTTAACCCAAAAGTACCACTGTTTGAGAAAAGTTTTATAATATTTATTGTTTGTTTGAAAGTAGTAGTTAGATTCTGTTTCCGTCAGATTCACTTCCAAACCCCATTGCCCCCTTTGTCAATTTACGTGTCATGTACCTACTCTACGCCATGATAATTGAAATCACATAACAATTAAGTTAGTATTGTTCAAAGAACACGTCAATGATATACAATACTTTTTTTCGGTAAGCTTCGGAAAGCCTTTGGTGTTGAAGAATTTCTAATCTGCCAGATATTGTTATTGTATAGGTATTTTGAGGCCATTGTAGATGAATTAAATTTCCATCACAGAAGAGATGGAGTTGTCGTTCGTAACATGGTCTTGAAGAGCCAGTTACCAAATAGATAAGTCTTGCACATATTCAAGCACAGACGATTTGTGTCACACTACTTTGACCTGCTTAGGCTCGAGTTCAATCCAAGTCCTTGTTGTGCTAGCAAGTGGTTGTCTAATCAGCGAAAAACCTGCATATCGCATAGAGATTTCAAGAAAACTAGAAATAGAGTAGCTACAGATCCCTGGGGAATGCCGCATGAGGCATGCTGTTTGCCACATGATATCCCAGTCGAGTGAGCGAAATGCGCGTAGCCGTGAGCAAGTAGCCAAACCACCCCAAGACCCTCCTTCTACGAACATCATAGGCGTGAAGCTTTCGAAGCAATACCTTATAGGTAACCCAAGGAGGCAGACGCCTTGGACAAGTCACAGAAATCTTCCGAGGGAAACCGGAACATAGCGTCAGAAGTAAACCTGTTTGCCTGAATTCCGAATTAACCTCTAGGTATATTATTGGTGTCGAAGACGCGACAACCAAACTCTCAATAAGTTTTGACAGCATAGACAATAAAGGAATGGGTTTATAGTTTAGAGAAAGACGCGCGATCATTCCTTTTGGACTTTAGCAATTTTAAAAGTCAATGAAAACGTGCCTGTCATAAAAGAAAAATTGATAACACCAGAAAATGTACGGATTGCTCCGTTGGGAAAGTTGTCCAGAGCCTTCAGCGAATTACCATAATCAGTTGTAGCTGTTTTATTTTTCATGTAATCGATTGTTTCTAGAACCCCGTGAGGGATGGAAAGCTTGAAAATATTCGGGGATGTTGATTCTTGATAAGTGCGTGGATCTGTATTGGATGGTAAGGCTGACAGCATAGTTTTGTCTCATCGGGTTTTTTTAAAAGGTTCTATCTGGATGGGTATAAAACTCTTCTCTTCTACTATCGGCGAAATCTAAAGCTTGAGCCGATTTTAGTGGCTGTTAGGTTGTTTACGACAGACTTGAGACAGATGCTCGACTATTTGGCCCTCTACAGCAAAGCCTACTCCGTTGGGGCTTATTTTCATTCTGCCCCTTCCAGAAGACAGTGCAGCCTCCGGCATATTCTGTTGAGTTGACGCTTGCCCACTTGCTCGACCACTCGCTAACTATTTTCTGGTAATAGGGAACTTGACCTTTTTTTTTTAGTTTTTGAATTGATTCCTCGAAACGTTTGGAACTGATCTATGCAAACAAAATTTGAATATCTTCATGATTAACAAAGTTACAGGAGTAATAAGACGAATACAATGTGACGTCATTCAGTAGTATCGCCATAAGCCAAAGCGAGTAAGACAGAGAAGGCAACATCATTTTTAATAATTCATAAAGATTGTATTTTTGAATAGATTCGAAAAATTGGGCGAAAATGTCCTTATTCACATCTGTACCTTTCAATTATTTGATTAAGCACCGGTTTATTCATATTTATATTAACTCACTGGTAACTATCAGCAAGATCAATTTATCGTTCTGTAATTCTATTGGTCGGAAGACAACTGGCCAACTAATGAGATTGCGTTTTTATCCCCCAGATTGCATACATGAGAGTTTTTCAGAGGATGAAATAAACCGGCCCTGAATCTAATAATTGTTATTTTATCAAACGTCCGCTATTCAACATTGTATTATCAGCAGGCAGAAGAAAGTTCAAAACCTCAGCACTGAGCTTAAACACTGAAATAGGTAATATGAATGAGAAATGCAAAATATGGTTTTTTGTTTATGTTCATACCATGCAATCCTTAAAAGACAAAAATAGCCAGCCGCATATATTTGCTATTGATTCAAGAGATACTTACAGAAAAATTGGACTTGAAATACGAATAGTCTAAATGGCCGTTTTCAACGCTCTTAGTGTTCGGGACCATATCTTAAAAGCGTTAAAGAAAATCCCTCCCTTAACGCACAATATAACCTAACATGAGCTTAACTATAAGAACGCTCTATAACTAGAAATGCACTCTAGAGGAACAGTGGTATAATAAACCAGTGAATATAATTGGAAGTTTTGGGAATTTCCCTGGTCGTTCAATCTGTTTAATAGCTCGTTTAATAAGTAGTGGAACCAACGATTCGTAAGGGACTTATGCTATAAAAGTATCCCTTCTCTAATAAAACGTATAGGGAATTTAAACT